GGGTGGAGGGAGGCGGGGGCTGGCGGGGCCCGGGGTTTGTTTGTGTTGTGGGTGGTACGTGTGCAGCCCGCGGGGGGGAAAGCTGGAAATGGACGCGCCGAGCGGGAGGTCGCAGTCCACGCTGCACCGGAAAGGGCTGATGGCGGCGGACCGGAGGAGCAGGTGAGGAGGGCAGGGCGCGGGAGGCGGCGGGGCGAGTGGCGCGGCCTCTCGGCCTGGTCCCGCGTGGGCAGAGGCTGCGGCAGCCTCCCTTTGTCCGGCGCAGGGGAGTCTGTACCAGAGTGGCTCTTGTCAGTCCCGCCAGATCTCGCCTGCGGCGGCTCTGGGAAAGATGCTCTGTCCTTTACCCTCCGGTTCTCGCCTGGGGGTGTAAACTCGAGTCTCCTCGAAAGCCGAGGAGACCTTCTGCAGACTTCGCTGCTCGGCCTGGGGGCGCTTGTGGTTTGGATTGACTGTAACGTGACCTGCACTGCTTTCCATATAATAGATGTTGGGCAGAGAACTCCACACGGGCGTAGGAGATTGGAATCCTTTGAGAGGGCTCGATGGTTCCCTTGTCTTCGCCTCCTCCCCAGTCGGTTTCGATGCAAACATGGCTCGGGAGGATAGAATGCAATGTTTCCTGTTCAAATCTGTAACATTAACTTAGAAACGGGAGCCTTCAGAGGACACAGAATCAAAACATTAGAATCTTCTCGACGTCGTTTCTCTTCATTTCCCCTTTCCACGGGGGTTCCTAAAATTGCAGGTGATTTTTTGGAACTTTTGGAAAGTTCATATTTAAGCCTCTTCTCGTAGTTTGAAATAAAGGAAGTAGCAGGTGTGCGGAATGGGTGGTGCTTCAGATAAAAACCGGTGACTGCTTGGCTCAAAATTCAGGTCTGGGACATAAGAGGGTTCAGAACTGGAGTCAGTAAGTTGTGCGTGTGGATGAAATTGTCCAGGGAAGAGACTTTTTTTTTGCAGGGGAGTCCTAGTGCCTTGTCAGCATTTAAAGGCTACGGGGCTGTAATCCTGGCACCCTGGTGGCTGAGACAAGAGGGTCAGAACCTCCAGACTTGCTTGGTCTACACACAGCTCCAGGCCTAGTCCTATCCAAGGGAAGGGGGTGATGGGGAACAGGTCAAATGCCCTCTAAAGGAAACCAGAGTGTGTTGAGCTGTGTGGCCCTGGAGAGAATGTAGTGTGGAAGCTAAGAGAAGACAACCTTTGAAGAAATGGATGTTCCTGATGAACTAAGAACTCTGCTGTACCATTGATTATGTGCCTAAGGATATGCCCAGCCAGCAGCTGCAGTGTTAATTTTATTTTCACCAGATTTTATATTTAGCCCCATCACTGTGTTTTTTGACTTGTAAGATGATTCTTAACTGAATTTTTAAATTCATGTAGATGCTGTTATAGCAGGTTCCAGCGAATTTTGAAATAACGGATACATTCTAAATACTTGATCTGCTAACACAATTTCACAGAACCCTGTTTTCCCATCTAACTGTTGACCTCTAACTCAAGGAGTCTTTAAGCTAGGGGCATTTGACCAATGCTTGGTATTTCACTGATGGAAAAATGCTTATTTGCTCCCCTGTATTTTACCCCCTTTGAAAACAGGATGCATCTAAAAATGTTTGTTGTACAAAGTGAACCTGTTACAATATCACCTCTGCTGCCATCAGACCTTAAGCACTGTCTCGTACTAAACAATCTGGAGGTCCGGATTTATATATATTGGGCACATAAAGGACACATATTGGAAATGGGATTTTTTTTAATTCATGAGCAGAAGCAGGTCTCTTTCCAAACTTGAGAGCAAAACTAGGGACTCTGTCAGATACAGCTATTGCTGGTAACCTAAATCACCAAAATAATCTAACCATGGCTTGCCCTATCCTTGGGATTACAAGTTATGTCGTGATCATCATTGGTATCTATCTACTGTGGCTTTGTCAATTTCTGCTTACCCATACCTTGTATTATCTTGATCATTTTTTAGTATTTATCATGGAATTGTAAAATATTTTTGATATAATTTATGTAAGCAGTCTAGAGAATGTGTGTGTGTGTGTGTGTGTGTGTGTGTGTGTGTGTGTGTGTGTGTGTTAGAAACATGGCTGTTGGCTTTACATTTTCTATTTTACTTCTGCCCTAAGATCATTTTTGACTTAGGTTAGTTTCCTAAGGAAAAAAGTATGCTGTGTTTTCTGAAGTTTAGAGCTTGCCTATCCGAGGAGTGTTTCCTCTCGTGGATATATACCTGTGCTTCTTTATATTAATTTGACCAACATAGCTGTTTCCTCTCCTAGTCAGGTCATTATTTCAGATAGTCTGATGTAAACTTTCTCTAGAGAATTAAACCTAATTTCCTTAGGGTCACTATGTTACTCCTTAGTACATTTTGGTTTAAAGAGATTTAACAAAATATGCCTCATCTTCTCCTGAGTCCATTTTGTTCCTACCCCCCTCTGTTCTCCTCCTCTGTGCCCAGGCTTACCTGACGATCCCGCTGTCTGCCTTCTTTCTGTAGGATCCTGGCAGTCTGCGGTATGCATCCTGACCATCAGGAAACTCTGAAAAAGAACCGCGTGGTGCTGGCCAAACAGCTGCTGCTGAGTGAACTGCTGGAACACCTCCTAGAAAAGGACATCATCACTTTGGAAATGAGGGAGCTCATCCAGGTATCGAGGTGAAAAAGGCGCCAAGAAGATAAACTGGTCCTAGGGGTGGGGCGGAGAAAACCTTTGAGGAGGATGTGCTCCCTGGCTAAGGAAGTGGAATGCCCTTCTCAGCCTTGAGAATGTGACAGAAAACGTCACCTGTGCACACTCACTCTGCAAAAAGGAATTCCTAAGACGAATGAGAACACTGCTTAGAAAACTCATGTGGAAAAATAGCACTTATAACGAGATAAGTAAATGTAATGTGATGTTTTATTTTTGTGCCTTAGGCCAAAGGGGGCAGTTTCAGCCAGAATGTGGAGCTCCTCAACCTGCTGCCCAAGAGGGGTCCCCAGGCTTTTGATGCTTTCTGTGAGGCCCTGCGAGAGACCAGGCAAAGTCACTTGGAAGACTTACTGCTCACAACCCTCTCCGATATTCAGCACGTACTTCCGCCGGTATGAAGCCCTAGAAATGTATCATCCTGGTACGGGTTAGGTTGACCAGAAAGGAGTGGAGCAGGGGGCCCAGGGAGAGAGGAACTGGATTTTATTTCATTTGGACAGAACCATCTCTCTGAGGTGAATCTTGATTTCTTACAGTTGAGCTGTGACTATGACACAAGTCTCCCTTTCTCGGTGTGTGAGACCTGCCCCCCTCACAAGCAGCTCCGCCTATCCACAGGTGAGAATGAATGGGACAAAAGGACTCTTCCCACACTGACTTACCTGCTTTCTGAATGGTGTCTGATTTTCCCTTAAAGGTGAGGTATATTTCATGATAGGAACAGTTCTTTATGAACTTTTGACGTGCTAACAGGGCAGGTTAGAGGGATATAAGTTGAACCCATTTCCCTCCATCACACGTAGTATTCTTCAGAACAGTTGGCTTTTTGTGCAACTTATTCAGATGGGAACTATGATTTCCTGTGTGTGATTTGACTTGTCTTTTCTTTAAAGCCAAACAAGAAAAGGCCACTACACTCAGGGCTCCCTATATATACTGAGGTGATTATAACCAGGCTTGTCTCAGAAGCCCATTCCATCATTCAGCGAGTTGAGTATCTTCTGTATGAAGCCACATGTGGGGGCCTAGTGATGAGCAGAAGCCAACAGGGTCTGTGCCAGCATGAGGCTTATGTGTTGGAGGAAAAAGAACAGTGTTCGTTCAAGCTTCAGTTTAAAGGGCAGCCTACAGCTAAAATGATGAATTAGGGGAGTTGTAAAGAGCAGTGCTGAAATGTCTACTAGCTTTTGGCATTCTCCCTACCACAGGTACTACGGAACACTCCTTAGATAATGGTGATGGTCCTCCCTGCCTTCAGGTGAAGCCATGCACTCCTGAGTTTTATCAGGCACATTACCAACTGGTGAGTTTGCATAATTTCTAGGAGGGGTGGGGAGTCAGAGGCTTTTCCTGGTCTGCTGAACCTAGTTCGCATGTTTTCTTACTGCCTTGTCAGGAAGTCATTGCTGATTGGCACCTTTTTTCTTTGTACCTGGTATGGTGAAAAATAGCGGAAGTTGGATTTGCAGAGTTGTCTGCTTTTGGGATGAGGGTTGTTGTTGGGGTTGTGTTTTGAAATGCTTGATCTCACGGGGTAGCCGCATTGCCTGTCATCAAGAAGCTCATGGTCTAATTGCCCTCCTCCTTCTAGGCCTACAGGTTGCAGTCTCAGCCTCGTGGCCTGGCACTGGTGTTGAGTAACGTACACTTCACTGGAGAGAAAGACCTGGAATTTCGCTCTGGAGGGGATGTGGACCACAATACTCTAGTCACCCTCTTCAAGCTTTTGGGCTATAATGTCCATGTTCTACATGATCAGACTGCACAGGTATCTGAGGCTGGGAAGGCTGACATGTAGATAGGGGCGGGCTGCACTTTGGAGCTAGGTGCTTCTTCTGTTCCTCTCGTGCCTGCTGGATGTTTCTCACTCGGTCGTGCTGCTTCCTGCAATCTAGTAAAAAGAAGTAGGGCCAGCCGGTATCTGAACATTGCCGTCTCAGGGTAGCTGTGCTCTCATGGAGTTCCAT